CAACAAAATCATGGCTAGAAAAATAAAATAAGCAAGATTAAAATGAATGAAAAATAGTTTCGATTTCACTTTATTTTCAATGAAGCAAAAACAAGACGTGAAACGTTCAAATTAAAAAAAAGTTAATGTTTGGAATGTTAAAGAAAGAAAGAAAAGAAAAAAAAAAAAAAGTTAGTAACAATAAAGACTAAAGAAAAAGTGTCATGTCGTGTGTGCCAAAGGTGATAAAATGAATTTAAAAAAATAAAAAAACATAGCGAAAGAGGAAAAAAGAAAGAAAGGAAAAAGATGAGAAAAAAAAAGAAATAGGAAGAAAAGAGTGTCTAAATAAGAAAAATGAAAAATTATGTAAACTATTTACATTATTCGGAAAATTGTCTTCATCTTTGAAAAATTTATTAAAACGTTTCGGCGAAAAAGTATCTGTCTATAGAAAAAAGAAAAAAATTCAAAAAGAAATTATTCGGACTGTGTCCTCAGACAAAGAGAAAAACAACGTAAAAAGAATGAATTTTCAAAAAAAAAGCCCCAAGGAAAAGGCGGGAAAAAGGAAAAAGGAAAGACAAATCAGAATGGAAAAAGACCTTAAAAAAATGGAGTTATAGAGAAAATACAAAGGATCTGAACGGTCAAATAATAACATAAAGACAACCTTCAAAAAGCGTGACAATGACTTCGCAAAATCTCTCTCTAGAAAAATAAAGAAAGAACATGATTAAAAATGTGTGACACTATAGTTGCAGCTGAGGAAAGGAGATATAATGGAGAGAAAAGGCCGCCCCCCTCAAACGTAAGGCTTCAAAAAAAGAAAATGTCTGAAATGGGAAAAAAAAATCAGGCGTGGCTGACCCATATAGAGAGAAAGGAGATCACCATCCCTGTGGGATCATGTTGAGATCATAGACAGGAACACCATTGGAAATTCGAAAACTTGCGGAATCAGCATATGCTAGGCCCACAAAATCTCCTGAGCAGACCAAGCATAGAAATAAATACAATATAGGAACCAGTAATAAGGAGTGCCAGAGATAAGCAATAATAAGAAAGTTGCAATATGAACTCTGGTAAAAACATGCAATGATAACAGCAAAATTGCAATATGAGCACTGGTAAAAAAATGGTTGCTGAAAAAAGTTGTTTATAATACCCAGAAGTTCATACCCAAATGTCCTCATGGACACATGGCACAGTGGATAAAGGTGTTGGTTAGATCCAGTGACACACCCAAAGAATTTGAGTTCAATACCCGGCTGCGGAGAATTTTCAGAGGGAAAATTAGATAACTGATAACTGACATCCATCAAACAAGGCACGTGGAATTAGAACAGTCTATCGAAATAAAGGGTTCAGTTCGAAATTCCAACGGCCGAAACGTTGTGACAAATATGGCGACAAAGATGAGGATAATAGTCGGACTAATGTAAATACTGTCCTCATCTTTGTCGCCATATTTATTACAAAGTTTCGGCCTTTCAGTATCTGTCTATATTTCTGAGATGAGGTATTATATACACTATTTACATTATTCGGACTATTGTCCTCATGTTTGTTGCCATATTTATTACAACGTTTTGCCCTTTCAGTATCTGTCTATATTCCTGAGATGAGGTATTATGTACACTATTTACATTATTCGGACTATTGTCCTCATCTTTGTCGCCGTTGTACGCTCCGTCCTTCTGGTTGGAATGTCGAACTGAACCCTTTATTTCATTCACTGGTGTAGACTGTTCTAGTTCCACGTGCCATGTTTAATGGATGTCAGTTATCAGTTACCTCCTGTCAATTCCCCTCTCCAAGTTCTCCACTGCCTTAACCGGGTATTGAACTCTTTGGGTCTTGCCACTGGATCTAACTAACGTCTTTATCCATTGTGCCATGTATCCTTAACACGAGGGGAAGTGAAAAAATCAGGCATGGCTGACCACATATGGAGAGAAAAGGGAGATCACCGCCCTCTGTAGGATCAGGTTATCATAGACCAAGAACACCATTGGAAAATTCATGAACTTAAGGAATCTGTAATATGCTAGGTCACAAAAATCTCCTGAGCCGACCAAGCATAGAAATGAATACAATATGGGAACTATTTTTAAGGAGTGCCAGAGAAAAGCGATAATAACAACAAAAATTGCAATATGAGCTCTGGTAAAAACATGCAATGATAACAGCAAAAATTGCAGTATGAACACTGGTAAAAATTGTTGCTGAAGACAGGTTTATAATACTCAGAAATGCATACAAAGGTGTCCTTATGGACGCATGGTACAGTGGATAAAAACGTCGATATAGAAATCAAAACAATCCCAGTGCCGATAACGGACATCGGTGTTATTCTTTATACTTTAATGAGTTTTTTGTAATTACTTAACGCTTGTATGACTTCATGCTGAATTTTCGTGTATGAAGCAGCCAGTGAAAATCGGACTTATCACTTATTAATAATGGTCAGCCAGACAAGTCACGCTAACCCATACCTATTGCCGATGCACTCCATAAATAATTAGACTTAAAAAAAAAAGCGCGAGATCTCGACGAGAATTGCACGAGAGATAACGAAATTGCAAGGATGGGGGAATGAAAGGGGGTTATTGGTAGAAAACAAAGAAAAAACAAGAGAAAAAAACGAAAAAAAAAACCAATAAAGATCAAGACAATAATAAATTGAAGGACAAATGGCGGAAAGGAAGTGATATGAAAGACATTCTAAAGAATAAATCGAGTTATTTGAAATAAATTAATGTAAAAACGTGGAAAGATTAATAAAGAAAAGACGTGTAAAGGAAAAATGAGAGACAGTTAAGAAAAATCAATCGAGAGGAAAAAGAAAAGACAAGTCGAATATAGTATAATACAGAATGAAAGAAAGAAGTCAATAAAAGGCAAAACAACAAAAAAAAGCAGACGAATAAAGGATAAAAACAAAATGGCGAGAAGGGAATGATATAAAATATATTCGAAAGAATAAATGCAGTTATTAAAAATGAAGGAAGAAAAAAGAAAGAAAGCATTTATAACGACTTTCAAAAAAAAATGAATAAGGAAATGTTTGTGTTGTGTCGTGTATATTGCTAAGTAAGCGTTCGACCTCTCTTATAGTTGGTGTCCGTTTATCATATGAGCTACCTGCTCATATGCAAATTATACTAATTTGCATCTCACTACAATTTGTAAAGACGCGCAAAGAATAAACTTAAGAGGATGACAGGAAAAATATGAGTCGAGGAGAGATAGAGATGGACAAAACAAAGAAAAAAATATATTTAATTTTTTGAGTCCTGCGTTCTTGAACAATTTTAACTCTGAACTTCTCACTCAAAATTCGCAAATAATTGGTATGTAATGTTTAACGGTAGATATAAAAATGGTTACAAAAAATATATCTTCCTGATTGCTTCCCTGACGGTACAGTTTTAGACTCTGTATGCTTCTTTTTTTTCTTTTTTCTTTTTTTTATCGAAAACTCTTGCACAAAACACAATGAAAAGGCGCAGACATGTTGATACAACATTCGGCGACATCAGAATGTTACGGCTTTTCTGATTGGCTCTTATAAAATTAAACAACCAATAGCAAAACACGACGCAAGAGTTTACCCACCGTTCAACCGGTTGCTGGACATTATGTCATTTTTCTCTACCACCGGTAAAGCGGTAGTCATGGCTCAAGGAAGAACAGACATAAATAGAATAAGATAAAGAATAAGAAAGAGAATTAGAGAAATATTTAAAAAGTTGGAAATATAATTCAATTGAAAATATGACTGTAAAATGGATAAGCATTAAAAAAATAAAAGAATGAAGAGAAATGAAGAAAAATAACCCTTTGATCTCTGCATTCCTGAACAAACAAAGGCGCGGACATTAACCTTTCTGCCTGAGCTCCTGAGTCAAAATTCGCAAATAATTATTATGTTTCACGGTAGATATAAAAATAGTTAAAAATATATAACTTCCTGATTGCTTTCCTGACTGTCAAGTTTGAGACACTGCACGCTTCATGGTAAAAACGATCTTTTTTTTTTTATCAAAACTCTTGTACGAAACACAATAAAAAGACGCAGACATGTTGGTATAGCATACGACGACATCAGAATGTTACGGCTTTTCTGATTGGCTCTTCAAAATTAAACAACCAATAGCAAAACACGACGCAAGAGTTTACCAACCGTTCAACCGGTTGCTGGGTATTAAATCATTTTTCTCTACCAATGTTCAACCGGTGGCTGGGCATTATGTCATTTTTTTCTACCACCGGTCAGGGCTCAAGGATTAAGTCTTCATTCATGCAAGGAAGAACAGGTGTAAATATAATAAGATGAAGAATCAGAAAAGGAATTAGAGAATTATTTCAAAAGTTGGAAATATATTCAACCGAAAATTGAACTTTACAGTCAAGTGGATAAGCAATCAAAAGGGAAAAAAATGATGAAAAATAACCCTTTGAGCCCTGCGTTCCTGAACAGTTTTAACCCTTCTGCCTGAGCTCCTGAGTCAAAATTCGCAAATAATTCGTATGTAATGTTTCAAGGTAGATATAAAAATAGTTACAAGTGTTTACCCACCGTTCAACCGGTGGCTGGGCAATAATTCATTTTTTCTCCCACTGGTCAGCGCTCAGAGGTTTAAGTCTTCATTCATGCAAGGAAGAACAAGCGTAAATAGAAAAGGAATTAGAGAAATATTTAAAAAGATGGAAATATATTCAACTGAAAATAGGAGTGTAAAGCTAAGTGGATAAGTATTAAAAAGAAAAAAAAAAGAAGAAATATGATGAAAATTAACACTTTGATCCCTGGTTTCCTGAACAATTTTAACCATTCTACCTGAGCTCCTGAGTTAAAATACGCAAATAATTGGTATGTAATGATTCACAGTAGATATAAAAATGTTTACCCACCGTTCAAGTGTTTGAAGTTTGAAATATAGAAAAAAAAAGAAAGAAAAAAAGAAAGAATTTTTAACATACAAAGAAAAGGGAGAAAAAAGGTGAAAACGAAG